CGAGCTGCTCGAGTCATGGTTCTCAGGCCCCCAGTCCATCAACAAGCGCAGCAATTTGGCGTTCCCATACTGCGTACTGAGATATTGCCTGAGTAAGAGAATCAGTCACGTGGGAAGGGCCGGGCCCAGCACCAACTCTGACCACAACGAGCATAATTGTCGCGCAACAACCAAGCCCGCATGTGACACGGCCAAGAAAATCGCGGCAGTTAATGAGTCGAACGCGAGTCGGTGAATCGAGTTATATGAGGACGAGCAACGATTACTTTGGTGCCACAAGCACTACAGGAAACGAACCACAATTGAATCCATATCCACCACTTCAGAAAAGTAACGCTAGTCGCATAAAATCGATAGTCCTGATTTCTTTGCAACAATTTTGACATTGAAGAAAATGCTACGGAATTTTGATACTGAAGTCCGTGGCTTGTCACAGTCATTGGTGTGATTTTATGGTCGTATTTGACATTTTCCTGCAAGGCTAAGGCCTTTGGCTATTAACGGCCGTTTTTCTTACGCTACAGCTCATGTCGGTTTGCATAAAACCATCGGCCCTATTGCGTTTAGATTTCATGTTAGGTGCCTGAATAAGTGCACTACTTTATAGAGTATACGTGATCCTAGTACTCGCCCGAATCTTTAGTCGCGTTTGTTGTGACGCTGTGTCAAGCGCACATTCCTTTTTTCTACTCCACGCTCCCTTTTTGTCTGTAGACTAGAGCGCGCCAGTTGTTTGCTGCTGGATTCAAGACAGTCGACGAGATCGCAGCCTCCGAACCTTCGGCTCTCGTCTCCGCCCTGGCACCCTTACTCTCACACAAGGCTGCCAAGGATATTGTTCAGGCCGCGCGCATGATCCTTGCTGACAAGGTGGACTCTATCAACAGGGAGGCAGCTGATATTGCAAAACTCTTCGCCCCGTCCACCGTTTCTTCGACGGACGACAGCTCTAGTGGTGGTAAAGCTATGTCCCCAGAGACCTCGACTTTCGAAGCCAGCGACAATGCCTTAAAAGATAGAGGTGCGCAGGAGGACGAAGATGAAGACTTATTTGCTTAACGTGTATTCTGCTCTTGTGTGTACTTAGGATATTTGCTTTCCTATTGTGGTACTAGTTCGCTTATGTTTTTTTTACTTTGTTAACTCTTGACTTTCAATGCACAATGTTTACGACTTCCTGTACTATGCTTCTTCGGGCTACAGGGCGCCTTACCCGTCGAGGTAAAAAAAATCCTAATTGTTTGGGAATTAAAATTTAAGGTTAATTGGAACCCCCCATTGGATACCACAAAACTACTTCCTATGCGCAAGCATTTCTTGTTGGACTATCAAATTGTTGCTGCTAGCGATGACATTAAAATATGTATTTACGCCCTAGACGCTTTTAACCCCGTCTTTCTAGTCCCGTCGGTGACTAGTGCGGTTCGTCAGTAGCCTAGGTCTGTTCTGGCGACAACAGTCACTGAAAACCAAAGGCACTGAGCGCCTGCGTCCTTCCCGCTCGCTTATTTTGTAAACGTATTGACGGGAAAACCCGTTGGGCGTATTTCGTTCGCCGACGGGAGAAGTTCCAACGGCGCCCAGTGATACTGCCGAGAACTAGCTGGACCTTATATGTCGCCAAAGTACTATGGATGGTTTCATTAAAGCCAAGAAAAAAAAGAGGGGCCTGTCGAAGCGGGCTTATTGTTGCAGTTGAGTTGCAATATTACGTAGATAACAATTATGGGTAATAACCAAACTGGGTGCGCTTCCTAGGGTGCCCCGAGAGTTCTGCGTCCTCCGAAGGCCTTAATGAAAAGTCCATCACATTAAGGAGAGGCATACCACAAGGTCGACACACTACGTACGTGTAACTAGTCCGAGCTTGACTAGATGCCGGCATGCCATCGTCAGAATCAGACCAATCGTGACTACTATTGCTTGCTTTTCCGGCGCTAGATGCGCCTGCGGTGATTTACACCTCAAATTTTCTCCCCTGCCATGATTGCGTGCCAATCTTCGCTTTATCTTCAAAATAGCGGAAAAGTAACAAGGGATGGACCGCTAGCTGAAGTCGACAAGAGGTGACCTGTAAGTGACTTCCCGCATTTCGACAAACGTAGCAAGCTAACTTTGCTTTGTGAGACATGTGGATTTGTCAAAGCCCTCGTGTAGATTCTCGCCATTCATCCCAGTTGATTTCGTCCAATAAGAGAAAAGCGGTTTTGAGTACGTCCGTCGGACACTGCCCCCTGAGTACGTGACAGTGTTGATGCATTAGACAAACACTTGCTGCCTGTTTCTCTAATTTCGCCACAGCAGCTGATCGAGGTGCTCTGTGGGCATCTATGGTGCCTGATGTATACTCAAAACTTGTGAGTCTATAATGAAACTACCGATTCATCTGTTCTAGCTTACGTTGAACGGATCAAGTGCTTCGTTAACACACCCGCTGGTTCACCTTAAGCTACGCGATATCTTTCTTCCTGCTGGCAGCACCTAGTATGTTCCGATAAGACAAAACTTCGTCCTAGAGCTTGGCTACGCCAACAACGGCGCCGTACATAGAAAGTTTATCGGTAGACACAATCAAGCCTACACATTTGGCCTAAAACTAGGCATTAGAATGGATTACGTGTTAATCCTGGAGATCTGCTGATGCTGCAAAGAGCTTATCTCAGAAAGGGTAATTCACGTATTCTTCTGAATAGAAAATTGTCAAGCCGCGCTGTTACCTCCGCTATGGTGGATAAGTAAAATGTGAGCACGTAGCTGAGCCCAACCTGGAGAGGATTCTGAGAACAACTGCCCTCGGTTTTCGGGAATAGATGGCCAACGGTCGCGGAGAGTTGTCTGTAAAGACCTAGGGGCGACTAAAATTACATTTGGGACAGCCATTAAAACCATGGGGGCATGTGAGTTAAATAAAGAGGGAGTGAGTGGAAATGATAATTATTTAGTCATGTGTGAAACAATATCTAAACGGTAACAGGAAGATATCTACAAGCTGAGTTTACTTTAAAAAGGACTGAGGTATTAGCACTTGGAAGCTAATTACTTTTCACACGCTAAGTTTCTTGTCCCACTCGTATTTGAAGCCAGGAGTGTTGTCACTACCGGTCGCAGGCACATGTGAAGACCTAGAAGAAGGTAGATTAAAGAAGAATAATGCATCGGAAACTAAAATTCAAAAATACAAGTGAACATAAACGTAGACGACCGTGTCACGTGCGAGTAAGGGAAACACATTTCAAATGTTCATTCACAGAAAGGACATGAGTTGTACACACTACTACTTACTTGTACTTGTTACGGCTGCGATCATGACTGATCTAGCCGGCCTCAATTATGTACCGTATGGTGCTTCTCCACGCGCAACGATCCGTGGCCGCAGACCTAGACAATTCGACCCATCCTCTTTG